GTCTCTCTGGATGGCCTCCCTTCCCTCCAGCTGTTGTCCTCGCCACACAACTTGGTGTCATCGGCAAACCTGCTGAGGGTGTACACGATGCCACTGTCCATGTCGCTGACAAAGATGTTAAATAGCACCGGTCCCAGTACCGATCCCTGAGGAACACTACTGGTCACTGGTCTCCACTCAGACATCAAGCCATTGATCACAACTCTTTGAGTGCGACCTTCCAGCCAATTCCTTATCCACTGAGTGGTCCATCTGTCAAATCCATGTCTTTCTAATTTGGAGAGCAGGATGTCATGCGGGACAATGTCAAAGGCTTTGCACAAGTCCAAACAGATGACATCAGTTGCTCTTCCCTTGTCAATTGATGCTGTAAGTCCATCATAAAAGGCCACCAGACCCGTCAGACAGGATTTTCCCTTGGTGAAGCTGTGTTGGTTGCCACCAATCACCTCCATATTTTCCATGTGCCATAGCAGAGCCTTCAGGAGGATCTGCTCCATGATCTTGCCAGGCACAGAGGTGAGACTGACCATCCTGTAGTTGTCCAGGTCTTCCTTTTTTCCCTTTTTGAAAATGGGGGTGCTGTTTCCCCTTTTCCAGTCAGTGGGCACTTCACCAGACTGCCATGACTTCTCAAATATGATGGACAGTGGCCTATCAACTTGGGCTGCCAGTTCTCTCAGGACCCGTAGATGGATCTCATCAGGTCCTGTGGACTTACACACCATCAGGTTCTTTAGAAATACATAATGGATATGTATAACGGGCTTACCAGAATTTATAATACCTTACTTTTTAACATTTTACTGAACAATATGTTTCTTGATCTAACTATAAATTACTTTCACTTGAAATAAAATACCACCTTGTTCTGATTACTAAGGAATTCTAATTCTGACAACTTGTTCTCAGTATGTCCCAGTGGCAGATTTGGCAAGAACTGCATTGGAATATGCACCTGTACCAATAATGGAACGTGTAATCCTATTGATAGATCCTGTCAGTGTTACCCTGGCTGGATTGGTAGTGACTGCTCTCAGCGTAAGTATCAGCTTTTTTTTTCTTTATTTTTAAAACAATTAATCAGGATTCAGCTATTTAAATTCTCTACTTTTGGTGAAGAAACACTGTCTAAGTCAGAAGTGAGGACTTCATTGTATATAATGAAGGGCTCCTAAACTTTTCTGCGCTATCAGAAACACATTTGCACTATGATTTTTCTAATAATTGGAACATTGATAAGAGGGATCAATTTTCAGTCTTCCACTGCCCAAAAAAGAGTTGTAGAGAAGCTGGATCAGACTTGTTTCAGAAGTGCACTGTGAAAAGACCTGCTCACAGGTTGCAGCAAGGGTGACTTCTAATAAACAGAACAAAAAAAAAAGTCCTTACTGTGAGAGTGGTCAAGCACAGCAACTGTCCAGAAGAGGCTCTGAAGTCTCCAGCCTGGACGAGGTTGTGAAATTTTCATCATTGAAGACCTTTGAGAAGGATACTGGACTAGGTGATGCCAGAGGTCTCTTCCAGCATGAAAAAGTCTGTGATTTGATGAATCTCACACTGCAGAGAGGGTTCTTGACCTGCTGTTTGCACGTCTGTAATTATTTAGTCTTATCGCAGTAGTGTTGTGAACTTCCCTCTTATGAACTCTTATTCATACGAGAAGTATTATTTCACAAATAAGGAGCTGAGTCACTGGAATACAGGGTGTTTTTTCTTACTACAATTGCATAGAGAGCTGCTGGCAAGGCTCAGACCAAAGCCAACTGGTGTCAAGACCATCCTTATTCTTCTTAAATGTTTGAAAATTCTGTAAGAAATTTTTCACTATGACTTTTTTTAAGTGCTTATAACTTTATGATGGATTTTTCTCTTCTTTTTATAAATGTTTCACAGATACACATTTTTAGTGTCATTCTACCTCACTTGATAAGTATTTTCTGGGTATGCTAAACTCCATGAAGACTTTGTTACTGACTTAAAAAGGAGAAGGGCTAAACCCTAATTTTATTATGTTTCATAGAGTTATTTTATTAAATAATTGAGCATTCTGCAGATGCCTTGTTGGGTCTATGCAAATTACTAATGACAGGAAAGAAATACCTGAAGCAAAACTCTCACAAGAAGCATGCTCAATTCCATAAGGTACCACAATCCACAGTCTGAAACATATGCATGCCAAAATTTCAGTCAACCAATTTTTACAAATAAAGGAAGATGTATGAGACCCTGATATGTCAAAATTCAAATGACATTGTGCTGGGGTTTCCGGGGAGGTGCATTTCCTAATAACATGCCTCATTGGTTTATATCATTTACGGTTTAACTGATCCAGATTAACTGGCTCTGTACCAGTGCATTGTAACATCTGGTCAATTTGAAAAAAAGACTTCTCCAGCTTAATTCTGTGAAGTGATTAATATTCACAACTCAATATGATACCAAAGTAAATCTTGGGCCTTTTCCTGTGGAAGCCAGTAACAACAAAGGTTCCTGTTTTTATGGTAAAATAAGTAGGTAGTTGGGAGAGTACCAGAATAGGGGTATTTAGGAGGAGGAGGAGGGACTTACTCAGTGAATCAATAACAAGAAAGTGGTGCCAGCAATAAGAATGGAAGCATCTATTGAGGCTGTGCTCATGGACTTTAACAGAGGAAGTTTATTTGCTTTGTATAATGGCCTTTCGTTCACATGGAAAAAAATCATTCCATTAATTTCTTTTGGAACTAGCAACCTTTTTGAAGCTTCTGACCTTTCATCTGTATGTGATTTACATTCCTTCTTAGCTGACCACTAATTTGAAAACCAAAACAATAATAAAAATCATTGTAAGGCACAACTGAAGTGGAAAGAACAAAAAACAAACAGTACTTTTTTTTTCAATACTACGTAGTGTATCTCTTAATGAAGTGAAATTTGGGCAAAGATAACACTTTGCAAAAATACAGCTCACACATAAATGAGTCATTATGCAATCATTTAGAGGATTCAAGAGTTTTTATTGCTTTCAGACAGGTGTCTGGACAACCAAATGAGTACACAACAATACAGAGTTATCAACTGTTTTAAACTTAAACAGAAATAAAGCTAAGGCTTGCAAGTCTGATCTGTTTCTTCTCTGCTATTAAATACTCATGTTGTACTTCCACAAAACTATTTTTAAATTATGTATCTCTTTACTAAAGAAACAAATAGATACCTCAAGATGTGAATTCGAACCAACAGAAAGGGACTATTCTTAGCATACCCTCTACACTTAGTGATAGTCTGACATAAAGAAAATAATCTTTTACTGTCTCTAAATAGTAAATTCTGTCTCATAACATGTTTACATGATTGTGAGTGAAGACAGTCTCTATAGGTAATTCCGTGTATTTTAGAAATACTATATTGATTAATGAACCCACAGAAGCAACTGAGTTAACTTGATTAAGGTATGATCCTGATTGTATGCACCATGTTTAGGCAATTAATGTAGACTCTAATAGTGGAAGCAAAAGAAGTTTAGTATTTGGTCTAAAGCTATAGGCTATAAGTTGCATTTCAACCTTCCCTGTTAATTCTGCTTCACTTTTGAGGCTTAAAAGGCTTATCCCCTCTGAATTGAACTGTTTGCAGATTAACAAATAAATTAAGAACGAAAACTTAGGTGGCTTTCTCTAGGAGAAATCTGGTATGAGTGTCCTAATTACTGAGTATCAAGTATGTATCACAGCACTTTTTACCTAAAGTAAAATGATTCCTTGGTTAAAAAAAAAATCTGTGGCTATTTGCTCAGAATGGAGCAGCCCCAAAAATGTGTTTAAAAGAAAAACAACAAACTCCAGATGAAGGAGTGGTCATATATGCATGTAAGCAGCTCTATTCATGAGTATCAAGGATCTTGTAATTTGAGATTAATTAATTAATTGCTCTGGGTTGTTTTAGCTTGTCCACCTTCCCACTGGGGACCAAACTGCATCCACACATGCAACTGCCATAATGGAGCTTACTGCAGTGCCTACGATGGGGAGTGCAAGTGTACCCCAGGATGGACTGGTCTTTACTGTACACAAAGTAAGTGACTTTGATTATCTATTCTTAGTCTACAAATCAGTGTCAGTATTTTCCTTCAGTATTTTCACAGTTTATTAATTGTTTTCTTCCCATGCTGCTGGACCTTTTGTGATCCAGAACTGCAGCACATTACCTACATGGTTGCAGGGGAGGCCCCTGTATAAGCACTGGCAGAGTGCGGGCCTCTACATTCAGGCTCCTCTTCAGCCTTCCTTCAGAGGGAGACAACTGATGGCTGCAGCCGGGTATCTCTGTGGAAGAGTCTGTCGTGTGCACTCGCAGAATGAATGACCCTGACACTCAGATGCTACCGCTGCAGATGTGGGGTTACGGCTGCAGTCCATAGCATGGATGCTGTCAGCTCTGCAGGCATTCCCCACAGTGTGGGATGATGGTACTGTCTAATGCCTTCCCTATCTGAAACCTCCCCAAGAAGTACTCTAGCAGCAGGGACCCAACAACCAAGATTGTAAGATAACACAGAGCTGACTGAAGCCATGAGAATAGCTTCTAGCTTAGCTGTGGCTGTGGTCTACTGAGGCACAGTCCCTGTTGTCACTGCAAAGTGATCATACAGTACGTCTCATATCTGTAATTGCTACCTCCCGGTAACAACAGCTGTAGCTCAGCACCTGTAATTCAAATACTGATATAGAACCTATTTCATTTGGGACTTAGAAACGTAACTCTGCTAGACTGTAATGTTACAATTTGTTTTGGAATTTTCTTTGTGTAATTAATAGAGTAATACGGATTTTTTTCCCAAGAACTTTTGATTAAAATAAAAATACAAGCCATGCAGTGACTGGGTGTAGGCATATGGCACTCAGTTTGTGCTAGGTAAGGGTTTGTACAAAGTTTGAGACATAAGCATTTGATAGAGCTAGATATTGATAAAGTTGGCTTCTTATCTTTATCATATTAGAGCTTCAATTTGGTTTACTTTCAATCTAGGCACCCCCACTCTCTGTAATCTGGGCACAATCATTATCTTTGAACTGAAGAAAAATAAGACTGCTAACTGTGTTTTGCATTCAGTGTTTAAATACATGTTTTTCATAAAATCAGAACTCTCCTTTTTCAAGTGAATAATGTCATAGTGGGAGGAAATAACAGATATATTATAGGGCCATATGGATGCAGCTCTGGAAGACATTCACTATACTGGTTCAGCTGTCAGCTATCATGGTTATTTTGCTTCCTGCTGGTGAATAATGATCTCTTTGCAGTGATATGTCTTCTTCATACTGAAATGGTATCTTTGTGAGGAGCTGAGATACGATATGTTATTATTTTTAATTTTTTATGCTTCAACATCAACTGTGCAGAAAATACGTCCAAAGGTTCATTGATCACTGAACAGACTCCCTGCTCTGATTCACAAACTGCCCTCTTTCTCCTCCTTCAAGTATCTTAAACACATTTCTTCAAGGAGCCCTTCTTGCTGCCTTCTTCTGAACATCAGCTGCCTGGAGAATTTCCCAACCTCATTTTTGTGTAGCTTTTGCCTAGTGTGTCTTTTAAACTACCTAAAATAAGGTAGGGCTTGATCTATTGTGTTTATAGAATGCCATGTTGAGTAGGGGGCTATGGAAACGACTTCTCCATAACATACTTAACCAGAACATTTGCATTTTATTTCTAGAGTGGTTGTTTCACTCCTTTTCCCCTCCCCCTCCTTGTATTACAGGATGTCCCCTAGGGTTTTATGGGAAGGACTGTGCATTGATATGTCAATGTCAGAATGGAGCCGACTGCGACCACATCAGTGGGCAGTGCACCTGCCGCACAGGTTTCATGGGGAAGCACTGCGAGCAGAGTGAGTAGGGACAGGAATTGTTTGTGCCTGATACAAAGTACTAAACCCTGAACCGACCCTCTGTTGTTTTGGCCAGTGTTGTGATACAACCTCTTGGCCTCAGTGCGTCTTTTGATGGTGAAAGAGCTTCAGGAGCTGGACCTAGTTTTTTTCCAAATGGATAAAAGCCCACAGAATTAGTTACTGAGACTGATTATGATTTTGATGGCTGTTTCTTTTAATTTGTAGCTACATGTAAGAGGCATTTGTACTACATTCTAGTTGCTTTGGACATAAAGCTAAAAAAACCCCAACAACTCTGTCATGTGAAAGTAACAAATGAATCCAAGTAACTGTCATTAGCTTAAACCACAATGAAAACTGATAGTTATAAAACTAAAGATAAGAAGTACCATATCAATCCTAGTGGATAAAATTAATCTTTGCAATGTGGTTTAACAGTACAATTGGATTATAAAAGCATAATAGATGCCACTTAGTTTTCATATGCATGTGATTCTTTATACAAGAAAATCAAGAATAACACCACCGACATCAATGGTAGTATAACATTGTACAACATTAAAAGAATAATCAGGCTTATAAGTACAGAACTGTTAGTCCAACTTTTGCTAACATTTAATGCGTTACACTGCAGTGTGAAGTAATACATTCAACCTACTATTGTGAAGGTTTAAACCGGTCTTTGGCATCAGTTTCATGCACAGGGCTTTGCTTTTGATGTGTGGAGGACACTGCGTGTTACCTATAACCAGGACTGATTTAGCTGCATCTGGATCTGAAGGGCTGTGCAATGGCCAAGATAGCATGTGTCACACCTGGTAGCACTGAAACAGAAGGGAGGGGAGGCTACCGTCCCTATAGACACACTGTATTCCCTCAGCAGTGGGTCTAGCCCCAGCTGCAACAGGAGTTATGTTTTTAAAGTCTAATGAACATTTATGGTAGATCCACCAAAATTTGGAAGTGGTTTTTTTCCTAAGAAAAATACTGTTCCAGCAAAATCTGAATGGTTTAGAGGAAAATACGTATTTCAATGAAATAATAGCTGGCAACATGTAATTATTAGTTATTTAAATTTTCTTATTCTACTGTGATGATTTCAATGTTTCACTTCAAAAGAGCAGCAATGTTTAGGAAAATATAAACTTTTTAATGTCCTCTTTTGGTGTCACAATATCAAAAAATAATTTTAAATATTTTGGCAAATCTAACTTTATTATTATGTTTTACAGATTTTGTATTTTATCCTATAATTTGATAACAATGATTTAACAATATTAAACTAAATGTTTTGGTATTTCTGAATCTGAACATCAGTTTTAAAAATTGACTTTTCATTCCAATTCAGATTTCAAAATGCCAAAATATACTATGACATGATGGTTTTTGCTCAGCCGTTGACTTCACAAGTTACAATCTTGTTTTCGTGAATGTAACCAAGAGAAGGAGAAGGTATATAAGCATGACATTCCACTTGAGTCTGGATTTATCAAGGCTGCAAGAACATTTCTCTGGCACTTATTGTGTTACATTATCTCGTAAATTATTCTAACTCAGGAATACATAAAAGATGAGTTAGATTCTTTTAAAAAGACAAAAAGAAAAACAAATTAATATCATTACAAAACTATTAAGAGATTTCAGAAAATTGAGTCTCAGAAGGTGAAGAACTACCACACTTACTTAAATCATCAGAACTACAGTAATGTTACAAGCCACACAGCAACAGAGGTGGCAGTGTAAAAGAAATAATTTTTATCAGTGGAGGATAATTCTGTACCATGCTAATTACATGATGTAGGAGACACTGATCAGTAATTAATTATTGTATTCAAATCATTCTGGGAGAGAAAAAATCATGTAAAACTCTTCCAATTAGCTTATTCTTCAAAATTTACCATTTTTCTCCTGTACGCAGTTTCTGAATGTATACATTACAGTATCAAAGTATGCTATAAGCAGCCTAGGACCAGTTTTATTTTTATATAAATGAGCAGTGTATATTAGACATTCTTATGGCCGTTATCTCTGGCTCATTTACCACATCAGCACATCTGTCATATGACATGACGCCAGCGAGATGTTTGGCTCCACTTGTATGATTACATGATTTTTCAAGCAGTGGGATCGGAGGAACCTGAGAGACCTGCCATTCTGGTGTAGAATTGGCACTTTGTCACACTTTGTCCATGTCTTCACTGTCTTCTACCCTTTTAATCTCTTTTGGGTTTTTTTTTTCCTCCCTATTTTCACTGCCTTAGTGGCAGCAACATTACAGGTAAAGGAAAATCACTCCTGAACACAGTTTTCTTCTCCTTTTCCTTCTCCTTCTCCTTTCCTGCACATATAAACATACACGCACAGAGAGGTCCTCTTAAGAAAATCTTTTCTGCAAGTCTGCCACTAATAACACGTTGCCATCTGCTGGCCATGTACAGAAACGTATGGGGTTAGTAACAAATGGTAGCATGTATGGTGCTATAGATCTGTAATACCAAAACATTTAAGAAGTAATAGCTATGTGTAATTTTTATTTGCACTTACTTTGTGCAGAATGTCCTCAAGGTACGTATGGGTATGGATGCCGGCAGATATGTGACTGTCTGAACAACTCAACCTGTGACCACATCACAGGAACATGTTACTGCAGCCCAGGCTGGAAAGGGGCCAGGTGTGATCAAGGTAAAGCCTAGATGCAATAAAATTATTATAATTGTTTTATATAGAACTCAGTATTAAATAACATCTCTGTATTATTCATTAAATTAATCTTCTAAGGCATGTGTGTTTAAATAGTCCGTTCTATGAAATTATATATCCTCTGTAGATTTTGTAAGGATTAGATGCCTCGGTGATAGTTTATTGGAGCAAAGCACTCAAGTGTAGATTGCTTGAAATGTTTTACAGTGCTGTGCTGTCCAAAGCTGCTGATAGAGTATGTAGTTTACGCTCTCAGTGCTTTTGCCTAGCGAATGTTCTTACTTTTTCAGCTCCATGAAAATGTCTCTTTCTATGAAGTTGAATGCTTTTACTTAAAGCTGGGATTGTCTTCACATTGGTTTCTGATATAGTTCTATTTTGGCATTATTAAATACAGTTCAATTAGCAGAAAGATTTAGAAGTGAAATACTGTCTTCTGCTCCTGACACATAAGCCTCTGTATTTATGCCACATATTTTAATTTCTTCTTGTATTTCAGCTGGTGTGATTATAGTTGGAAACTTGAACAGTTTAAGCCGTACCAGTACTGCCATCCCAGCTGATTCTTACCAGATAGGGGCTATAGCAGGCATCATCATTCTTGTCCTGGTTGTGCTTTTTCTGCTAGTACTGTTCATCATTTACAGACATAAGCAGAAAGGAAAAGAAACAAACATGCCCACAGTGACCTATACCCCTGCTATGAGGGTCATCAGTGCAGATTACACCATTTCAGGTAAGTGACATTTAGAATAGGATTTTTTTTCTCTATCTCTTGACTTTGCTTTTTTACCTGAGCTCTGAAGGGGTTCAGATCTGCCCCTAACAGGGCTTGAATCTGCACATTTTATCTTTTTGCATTAGCGATGGCTGCTGTGAGCAGGAACATGTCTGATTTCGAAAAGGGTATCTACAATTCTGTTTAGGAACAGGAAGACTGAGGCACTGCTCTCAACGTCCTTTTACAGTGGAGCAGCCCCTGAGACCACAGTGACAGTGGTGCCGGTGAATTGGCACACAAGACCAGTGGGACGAGATGTTAGACTTTTGTGCTTACCTTTCAGCTATCAGAGGCAGTTCACCCGAGTGCAGAAGGATGCTGCCCCAGCATCTATACCTGCTTAGTTTGTTCTGCATCATAGTTTTTTAATCTCTACTTTTGCTACTATGAATGTGGCTTACCTTGGTAAAATGTGTTAATCGTAAAGGAACAAGTGACCATACACCTTAATTTACTGTGTAACATTTTGCACCTTCCAATGTTTTTCTGCATTAAACAGTGAAAGTATGGACATTTCTATTCCCCTGTGCCTATTTTTAAACAGAATTGGAAAGTGTGGCAAAATATGGTTTCTATTGAGACTTAAAATTCAATGCCAACTGCTTGAATACAGAAAGACTGCTATAGTTGTAGAAAATCAGGATTTCACACTAGCTGTGGCAAGATTCTGTAGAGAGGCAGATAGCAGAGTGGCTCGAGTTTGAAACGAATTAAGGGAAGGGGCAATGCTCCTGAAACAAAACAGGAGTTTTTGACCTATGAAAGTGCATGTGAGTTGGGATGCAATTCGTAGATGAAACTTTAGGCAATACTGTCTTTTCCACACAGCTATTAAGGAAGGCGGCAAGTAAAGAAGCCAGCAGAAACAGTTGTATTTGTCAGAGTCAAGAAAGATGTATCAGTAAAGGTGGTGGTGCTCTTGAAGCACCAGAAAACGTTGCTGTGAACTTGATGGTAAAAGTGTTTGTAAGTAGGACAATGCTATGACTACAGAGGTGAAAGAGAGGAAGGGACCACAGCAGAAAGATAAGTTAGCAAGTAGCACTTGTGAATGCTTTTTGCTGAAAGTGAGGACATGACCAGTCAGTTACTGCTCTGTATCTCTCATTTCTTTAAATGAATGCAAGATGTTTAGATTTTTTTTTTCAAACTCTAAAACAGATTCTGAAATCAATGAAGCACTGTCAAAAACATGAGAAAGAAATATCATGTTATTTTTAGTTGTACATTTTCCTTTCTTTTTCTTTTCAGAAACCATCCCTCATAGCAATGGTGGAAATGCTAACAGTCACTATTTCTCTAACCCTAGCTATCATACTCTAACTCAATGCACTACCCCACCTCATGTCAACAACATGGACAGACTGACCCTGGCGAAGGTAAAGCATAAAAATCTTCATGCTTCTGTGTAAATTAGCCTTTGATTTATTTTACTTTGTTCCTCAATGTTTCGTATTTGGTTTATTTTTGCTTCCCTGATTATCACTGGGAAATTCAGCAACTTCCCATCAGTTTCAGTCTCTATTACCTATCTTTCTTTGATAGGCAAAAAACAATCAGCTGTTTGTGAACCTTAAAAATGTGGAACCTGGAAAACGAGGCACCATCATGGACTACACAGGAACACTGCCTGCAGACTGGAAACATGGTGGCTACTTCAATGAGCTTGGTAAGAAAAAAAAAAAAAAGAAAAGGAGGAGAATGTAAATGTTATTCATTGTGTTTGGGATGGATTGGAAATCAGGGATGTTTTCCTGGTTCTCCACTCAGGGTAATGCCAGGCTTGTCAGACTGTGTGTGAGGTTCAGGATTATGGGTTTGACCTTCCTTTAAGATCAAAGATAAAAAAGCAAGTCCCTGTGAGGAACGGTGAATCAGTCTGATGCTCAATGCAGACATGATATGCAAAATATCTCATATAATTTTTATAAAAAGGTTTGCTTATTAATTAGTTTCATAAAACAACGGGTATTGTATAATAAGGGTCAGCTTTGGCAAAATTACATATTCTTATTAAATAAATGAGAAGTTGTGTATATCCTTTTGGTTTTTTTAATCCCCACCAAATGGAATCAAGGCTTTAAGAAGTAGTCTCTCATCATCTGAGCTGCTTCAGATGAAAATTCTAGGAACATCTTCCCAGCTAAGCCTCCTATTTGCTAAAATACACAGCATTGTCTTTAAGAAGAAATATTTCCAAGAAGTGATGAGAGCTGCTGTATTCTGCTTTGTGCTGTCTTTTGCTGTCTTTTCATCCTTTCCCAATTTCATGCATTCCACAAAGGCTGGGTTGCACTAACTGAATCTCTGACCAGATTTTAAAAGGGACTTTCACCGCCAGTGTAATTTAGATAGTTTAATGACCCTCATTTCTGGTCCTTATCGATAGCAGATTCTGGGAATCAGAACAACACTATGTAGCTTTTTTTTTTCCTGGTCATCCTTAATCTTGGTCTAACCACAATTCAGGCTCAGATCTGGGTTTTTTTTAGAAAAGGGTTTCAGTCATAATGTTCAATGTTCAACTTTACATTTTCTTAGAGCATTCGTACTAGCACTTGAGACTCCTAAGAGATACTGGCTGCCGTTAACTGCAGTAGATGTTGAGTAACAGGGGGATTCTAGAGGACTGGATGAATGCCGGTATTACATGTTTTCCAGAAGATCAAAGAGGATTACTTGCATAACTCTAGGCTGGTGACCTGGACATTAGTCTTGGTAAAAAAAAAACAGAACAGCTGACATAAGATTTAATAAATAAAGATGGAGTAAGAATAAAATTAGTTGGTTTAGGTCTCCTCAAATAACATAATTTTGTTTTTGGAAACCATGAATTTTGTTTAAAGAGTTATTGTATAGATAAAATTATTTTAGGCTTTTGTAAAGGTTCTAGCATAGTACAATACAATCTGATCTAAAAAAATAGCATTTTGTAATATCAGTCAAAGCTATTGAATGGATTAGTAACCAGATAAGCGCCAGGTCTTTGAAGACAGTTAACAGGCATTGCTGACTGCTGATGTTTATACTGAGATTTATATGGGAGAAAACTGTTGCTAACAGATAATTGCAAAGATGTAGACTTAGATGCTAGGTGTTTAGGCCATTCCTATATGTCAACGGACCGGAACAGAGTGACCTTGGACAACACAATGGGAGTGATTAACTTTGGAAGCAAAGTACCAAGAACTGGAGTGAACTTTGCATACCTTGAGATTTTCAGGTCAAGATGGGGTATATTTCTGGTAGATACAGTTTATCCAGACAAAAAGTATGCTTTGATCAAATGGCAGTTATTAAGGCTCATTCAAGAGTAACTGGGGGAAACGTAACAGCCTGTGACGTATGAGGTCAAACAAGATAGTTTAATGGTCTCTTGTGACCTTAACCACCTTCCCTGTTTGGGAAGCTACTGTTTGAAAATGAGCAAGCAAATACAAATAATGCTTCTGTAACCCTATGCTAGGCAGTTTCACAGTGCGTGTAAGAGAATTATTCTGCTAAGGCAGAAATTAGTCCCAAAGCAATTTTTAAAGCTTTAGAAGCTGTTCTCTAATAACTTTTATTTGATTTTAAAACTACTCTGTTTTTTATATCATTTTTCTCAGGTGCTTTTGGACTTGATAGGGGATATTTGGGAAAGTCCCTGAAAGGTGAGGTTATTTTCTCGTGCATTTAGATGGAGTGACATAGACATTCAGTTTACTCTTCTAAATTATCTTTGGTTTCTGTGTGAAGAGAATATAAAATAATTTTGGACTAAATAATTCCTAGATGCTGAATCAATGCATGCAGTTTGTATGTCTTTTTTTTTTTCTTTTTTGGGGGAGTTTGTTTTTTAAAAAAAAAAACAACCAACAAACCAAGCCTTTCTAAGTCTCCTATGTGCCACATAGATCAAATGTTTCTGTAATGCTTGAGTCACAAAATGGCTCTATTCTGGACAGCAGAAGGGGGATGGCCCTTGAATTCAGCCTAGTGAGCTGGGTGAGGACTTGTGCTGCCTCTGATGACAGGCTTTAAAAGACCCAGTCCCTCTTGCAACTGGTATGAGTTGCATGCAGTTGCAACTGCAACATGCAATGTAGGACTGCGCGACTACAAGCCTGCAGTGCTTCATCACATTCGCTGCAGGCCTTTGGAAAGGGTATCAAAAGATGAATACATAGAGAGGAATGAAAAGCTTCAGAAATTCAGGGTAGCAATGATATTTTGATCTTTTGAATTACCTAGTTTTCTTATTAAAACATCATACTGGACCATACTGGTGTCTGTCACTATTTTTGTTATATGATTAAGGTATGCCAAGGTTGATTAGAATGCCTGGATATCCAAACAATGAAAAAAGTTTAGCTAAGTCGTTATGAATAATGAGTTAAATATGTAGACAAAAGCAGCGCGTTTGTCACCTTGTGTATAATACAGGACAATTAAGTTGAAGGAGTGATTTATTATACCTGACATTTCCTGGTTTTGGAGGATTAGGGGAAGCCAAATTAAAAATATCTTAAAGGAGTCACAAAATTATGAGCACCTATCCACTGACAGGTTCATCAAGGTCAGTCTCACGCTGGATATTCAGTCAGGAACAAGCTGTGAAAGTCTCAGCTCTAAAGCTGAAATAACACAGAATATCACAAAACAGCACAGAGAACAAAGTAACATGGGCACCACAAAATTTTCGCCAGCATAAGAAAATATATCTTCTCTTAAACTAGTTACCTGTCCTTCAGTTAAATCCTACAGTGACAAGCCACCTGATGTTTCCTTTTCAGTTCTCCTATGCACAACTTACAAACTTCTAAGAAGCTGGTTACTCCTTTAGTGTGGCTGCATACTCAAACTGCGCACCATGCAGGACATCCCTAGAAGTCACCTTACCAACTGCCCAGACATTGCTATGGGGAGCAGTCTTAGATCACTTATTTTAGTAGTGTCCTGAGTTCAGCACTTGGGAAGGCAAAAATATTCTGAAATGCCTATCAGAAACTGATTCTACACATTACCTGTGTTTAATGATAGCTGCTATTTTAACTAGAATTGAAGGTGCTCAGACTTTGCAACAGGAGTTTGCTGATGGCAAGACCAAGTCCATAAAAGATCATAGCAGTAGAGGTGCTTTCCTTAATTGCTGTATAACAATTTTGAAGTGTTATGACTGGTTTCCATTTAAGTATTCATTTATGAGTGACTTCTTAGAACTCAAAATTAAAAAATGCCCTGTTCAGTAGTGATGTCCACAGTATATAGCAAGCTTGATAGAGTAATATATTTCTTTTTGCAGATCTAGTGAAGAACTCAGAATACAATTTAAGTAACTGCTCATTAAGTAGTTCTGAGAACCCATACGCTACTATAAAAGACCCACCAGCTCTTGTACCAAAAAGTTCCGAATGTGGGTATGTTGAAATGAAGTCACCAGCACGCAGGGACTCCCCATATGCTGAGATCGCTGGCTCTGCTACAGCCAATAAGAATGTTTATGAAGTTGGTAAGTACGAATTCTACTTTTAGATGTTGAAGGTTAAGGGCAAAGAGCACAGGACTTTTTTTCCTGTGAATCAGTTTAATCAAAACACATGAAAAATCACTGAAAAAAAATGATGATGCATTCAGATTCTGTTTTCTGCTTCAAAGATATAACAAGAATCTCATTCTTTTGAGATAAGTGATGTAATTCACAAAAACAGAGTTTGAAATGCCTTTAGGTCTGTTCTATAACCTAGAGGTACTTCTGAATTTCTCTGGTTTGAAAGCATTTCTTTAAACAGCATAAGATAAGCTTAGCGGTTGATTGCAGTATAGTTCAATGCTAGATTAGGCTAAGTACTGAACGCATCTGAAGTAAGTGTATGGAAGGATAGAAAAGATCTGTTTCCTCCTTTTGATTAGAAAAAAGAGCGTCTTCACCCACAGACATAGTATTTTGCTGATACGGGTGCTATCTAGTTACTGCATTACTGTAGTTACAGAAAACTTTGGGGTCTTGTGGAATGGTAGTTAATCCTAATGGTCTCTAGACTAGGATAAAGTGCATGTCACCTGTCATAGGACACCATTTTGCTTTTCTGTTCCCAATTAGAGACTCCCCTGAAATCCATCAATATCCCTGTTGTGTTTCTAATGATTTTTATAAAATCTTAATTAAAAGCCCCAAATTTGGGCTTTTTTTAGTTTGTCCACACACAAAGAAAAGATGCTGGTCTACTGGCTTCTGTCAGTAAATATACTCATGTCAGGGTCCTGCTGCAAGCCCACAGGTGTAACTTAGTGTAAAGCCAAAACACCTTAACATCAACCTTTGTTTCTACACCTGCATTTCAGAACTCAGCATGACAAGGAAACTTTATACTGAAGCAGAAAGAAGAGGATATTTTGTTATGCAAACTGAAATGAAATACACCATTTTCCTTCTGTTCACTGCTTCTAGTGTTGAATGTATGTGCTTTCTTTTATCACAGAACCTACTGTGAGTGTTGTCCAGGGATCATTCAGCAGCAGCGGACGTTTCAGCCAGGATCCTTATGATCTTCCAAAAAACAGCCATATTCCTTGTCATTATGACTTGCTACCAGTTCGAGATAGCCCCACATCCTCTGCGAAGGAGGTCAGCAGTGAATGACCACAAAAGCTGATGTGTAGCACAGTAGGACTCTCAAGGGGCAAAGTGGCATGGTTGTGCTCCTTCCTCTAGTTTACCATCATATTTGGCTCCTAATCTGTCCAGCAGACAATTGCTGTACATTAAACAGTATCTCAAGGTGAGGTTTGTATTGTGTATTCAAGTGACAGATGGACAAATGCCACACTCTGGGGATCCTGATCATTCTTTTTTTCATGGCAGTAAATTTTATAGAAACCGGTATGCAACACATTTATACTGTAATATACTGGCTTAAAAATATTAGTTTGCAGATCAGTTTTTATAACATCCCATTTCAGCAACTTTAAATATAGACTTCATGTCTGGCATGTTTCAGAGTAGAAGTATTCCCAGGACAGTGCAATTTACCAAATACCACTTTGTTCAGGTGATGTGATTTACTAGTTATGTAGAAGAAAAACTGCCTTGCCAAATTTTACCTTGCATTCTAATCTTTAGCCAAGACATACTAAGAAACAAGATCTGATGGGGATAAGCACAATACTGCAGTTGTTTGGGAAATCCATTATCAGGCTTTTTTGTCTATTACTGGTGGTGGGTATACCTTGCTTGAATAGTTTTGGAGATAAAAGCATTGAAGCATTGCATACATCAATATTACATGATGCCTCAAGATCTCTTGGTACTCCAGACCCAGCACCAGTCTTCAACAAATCTTTTGCTACCGTTGAACTCCGTATGTTGCAGTTCTGACCACTATTTCTGCATACACAACTAATAATCCGTAACATATCAGTAATTACTTCATAAAATATGTAAATTAAATCAGCTTATTTTTGTCACCATGGACTGATTATGTAAGGAGTGGACAAAGGTGATGACTGCTGTAAATCTTAACTGCAAGTAAAGGTTTACATTTTATAAACAGGTAGTAATAATGACTGTAATATAGGATAAAAATAGTAAAGTGTTCTGATTTTTTTCTTAGAAATAACTAAGCAATCTCTGTGCATACTTGCTAAAAAGGCACCTTTTCTTTTTTATTTTTGGGAAACATGCTTAAGCTGGTCTTTTGCATTGCTAATATTGTGACACATGTACCCCCCATTCTTCATTAACTTTTGTCTCCATTTTTATGCTGTGTGTCTGTGTTTCTAGTGATCTAGCTTGTAATTGCAAAAATATTCTACTGTATGTCCATTTCTTTTGCATTTTTGCCAACTGGCCTTTATTTTGTCTGGTTAAAGGGACCTCTGGACAGAGGGAAAGATTTATTAAAGTAAGAATTCGCGTCATACTGATCTCCAACAGGGGTGGTTAGCTAATACATAATAGTTTAACTTAATGAATTAATTGGGAAAAAATAATCAAGGTGGGTTTGTCGATGATAATAACAAGAATGCAGAAGAAATTTTTAAAAACAGTCCTCTTTGAAGTATAGCTTATTCTAGTGACTGTAGGGATGGAGACCATCTTTCCAAAAGGCTCCTTTCTCTCCCTCCAAAACTATCTGATACAAACGGCGCAATGTGGCGGAAATGAAATTTGCCAAGGTATCCATCCATTGAAGCAAAATTGTCCCACAGACACATCAGCCTAAGAATAAAGTGGTTGATATAGACCGGACATTCTCTTTCAGTGGAGAGTTACCTTTAGAAACCTAAAAATGATGTGGCAGTATTACTTCCAGCTGCTGCTGATGTCAGTGATTCCACCTGCTAACATGCTTCTAACAACTCCGGCAGGCTTTTTCACCCTGCCCTGATGGTGACTCTGTAGCTTCTTGTGAATAGCTTGTCCCAAGGGTTGGTATATCCCTGATGGATAGAGAAAAGATAACAGGCAGTTGCATCATATGACATACAATGGGAAGCACTAGTCCTCTCTTTTTTTCTGTCTTGGGGTCACATTTTAGCACAGGAGACCTGTGATATACTATAATGATGTGAAGAGCAGTCAACAGGTCAAGACTTTGGTGTATGTGCTCTCCAGCTTAGCACAGGGAGTGCCACAATCGTTTTTATCTTTACATCTGGACTGCAATACAGTCTGAGACAAAGAATTAACACTATTGTGACAGCATTGATATATTCCTAAGAAAATCATAGCCAGTTGCCTTTGGAATACTAAATGCAACAGAGTATCAACTGGAGAAAAAACTGAAAAAAGCTGTAAAATTTTGTTTAAATGAACCCCACAGCTGAAATAGAAATACAATTTGCTTTTATTTGTTGTCACTGAAGTGGTGGTGAGAGGTCTGCATCCAAAGATGTTGCAGACGTGCCTAAGCCTGAGAATGTGTATGCCTGTACAAAGTGCCCTGTAACATTCTTGGTTCTCACTGGCTGTAAGCACTGGCTGTTTTGCAGTTCACTGGGCATTTCCTGTATATCCTTGGAATAAATAATTTGATTATCTTTGGATTTTGCAACTGCAGAAATTAACTCCAAGATTTCAAAAGCCAGTCACCATTTAATCTCTCTGTAAGTATTGATTTGGTTTGTGTGCGTATAGGTAACATTAGAGGTACTCCTATGTACGTGTGTTTGTACTGTGTGAAACAGACTTTAAAATAAAACCTTTCTTCTTTGAAGCCATGAATAGCAAATGCTGTATTTGGCAATTGTGAGCTCACAAAAATTTATTTTCTTACTCTGTGTAGAATTTGGAGACCACTAGGAAAATTAATCTTCATTATATAAACAGTTCTTTATATGAACAAGTGAACAGCAGAATAAATTATATTTGTTTGAAAATTTTCGGTATGTCACATATCCTCAAGTGATATATTCAGCCAAATATTCATAAAACCAGATGAGTTTCTGATAATTTTGTCTATTGTGTGTGTTCTAAATACACACATTACCAAAGTCTGCCTTTCTATATGTGGGTAAAACTCCTGCTGTGTATTCAGCATAAGCAATGTCTGCATATATCTGAGCTGGATTTGCAATACATAAAGGTCAAGTAAACGTCTTGCGAATTTACTTCAGTGAATGATTGTTGGTAGACACTCAGAAAACAGATTGCCTGCAGGGGTAATATGTTCTTGTCAAATGATAGCTGTGTATCATTCCAGAGTGAAAATGCACATGGGACTTGCATTAGCAATCCTGCTGCCTCCTGTATGGCTCGGGAGGATTGCTCTGGAGTACACTCTGCTGTCAATTTAAGAGATCCTCAACTCTGTCTATGACTGTCACATAGCCCTTTCTGTAGATCCCAGGATGCTCTTTAGAGAACTTACATATTTCTGAACATGAATACGATGTTGTGGTGGGAATTTAATGAGTAAGTTGATACAATAATTTTAGCAAACACCTTCTTCTGAGAGAATTGGCTTCAGCACAGACAGGAATGGAAAGAGATGCCTTGCCTCTGTATAGTCACATTACAATAGGGAGAAACATAGCATTGAAAATGGAGATAGCTATCCCCTAGCGACTTGTCATCAGTTTAATAAAGTGCAAAATGCTGCACAAAGTTAATAGCTGATTTTAAAGTAAGTAGTGAGTATAAACTTTAGGTTTTAAATAATGTAGGCATATTAATTCTGGTCATTTAGAAACATAATGAATCTTTTTACTCTATCAAAGATTTTTAATCACAACACACTGTAACACATAAAATTTGTCCTTATCTTGATCTACCCAGAGAACTCCAATTAATTTTAATTGGAGATACACATGCAGATTACAGGGGAAAGATTTCACTGTAGCTACACTTTCTGCTGAGACAATCTGCAAAGTCAAGTTAATATTGAAGTGAAGTTAGGATAAAACAAAATCAGAAGTGGGAAATGTGTTACTTGAAATCTATTGGATTTTCCAAGTACTGTGACTACAATTGAATTTTTTATTAGATATGTGTCCAAATAATAATTTTATACTGAAGCTCTAAAGTCCAGACTGAAGAATACAGAGCTAAATTTCACAAAAATGCTTTATATTAAAGATTGTATATATAGTAGTTTAAATGACTGAAAACAAATGGGTGCATGTTTATTAATTACTGAACAGAAAAATTTGGTACACTCATACTAGTGCTAGAGCACTGAACCTAACTCTTCTATCTTCAGTTTTTTAGCCCACAAAACTTCACTTTGATATGCTTGAACTGTAATATATATTTTAAAGGAAACCTATCAAGTATACCTGGCTTTTTTTCTTAGCTGTAACAAAAAAGTGTTTTGCTGTGAAAATATATCTATTTTCCAAAGATGACTGATGTTCATCATTTTGCCATTCACTACCATTTATTTCACTTCACATACCTGTAGGTTTATGTAATAAAGTTTCTAATGAAAGATGGGAAATGCTTTGAAATTTTTTCCTTTGCTTTTCATTTGCGTAGGATGGATCTTGAAATAGCATGGGAGTTACAAAAAATGTTATCCTTGCCCATGCTGGACGACCAAGTAGTGTATTTCATTTTCCCTGTTATAGAAAGCAAATAGTTTTTGAGATACTTTGCAGAAAATCACTACTGCCTGTTCCTGCAGGAATTAATTCTGTAAACGGGGTGATACTTTCAGACCTCTCTCTTGAATCCTTAAAGCTTTAACCTTGAGAAAGATGGGGAGCTGAGTTCCCAAAAGCAAGGCATTTCCTGTTTATAGTAGGATAATAGCCTTGGATTAAACATTAAAAAGCCAGTAACCAAAGAACAAGCACAGCATAAAAGGGCATAACATACTGTAATTTCTATTTTGTAACTGACCTCCTAAGATGAATGTAAAAACACTGTTTACAGATAGATGGTGTGGGAAGTTGTTCTTGACTATCAGTTTGATCAAAGATGAGAGATTTGCCATGAAGAACTAATCATAGAATCATAGGAACATAGAATGGTTTGGGTGGGAAGGAAAGAAAGATAGGAGAAAACCTGTGAGAGCAAGGCAAGTGCTGCCAGTGACCCAACGTGGGAAGAAGCAGGGGAGCCCAGAGGGCTGGCCAGCAGTGCTGGGGTGCAGGGAGAGCCTGTGGCACCTTGTCCTGCAGCCTCCCAGGGAGGCACGA